TGTCTAACTTTCAGGTGCCCATTCCTCTTCCTCCTCAACGCCGCCGTTTTCTAGCAATCAAATGGCTGATCACCGCTGCTCGGGAACAGCAGAAAACAAATAAGAACGCAAGAATGTACAAGAAACTGGCGAAAGAACTTCTCAATGCTTACAACAATGAGGTAACAAATTAATGATTCCGATACACCATGCACGTGTCACTTTAATATTACGTTACTGATTTTGGACAGAATTTTGTGTTTAATTGACCAAAATGGATAGAGGCGCGCATTTTATTTACGGATAAGGAAAAGAACAGCTGCCTTCAAAGTAAAGTCGAACCCCTTTTAATACGGACCATAAAGGCCGGGCCATAGAAAATGTCCTTAATAATGTGGTGTCCGTATTAAGCGGGCGTCCATAAAGCGGGCTTCGACTGTACTATCGACCGCCTGGTCGTCCAAAGAGATAACAGTATGGGTCAAGCATTCAAGGTAGCGTTAAATAGCCACCAAACAAACGTGGCCATAGAGTCATGGCCCATTCAAAGATAGTGGCTCTGTCCATTCAAGCCGAGATATTTTTGAAGCCGCACATTTTATTTTTGTTCACGAATCGGCCTTCTGTCCACTCGAAACCAATGCTTACCGAAACTGCATCTTTTTTAAACCACTTTTCAGAGTGGTTTGCCCCTCCACACGAATCCGGGTGAGCAATAATGTGGTTTTGAAAATGTCCGGTTTCGTGTGGACGGGTAATTTGGGACCAAAGTTCGTTTAAACAGCGAATTTATATCTAGACGATTTATCCGTCTCAGACGGATAATCCGTCTTAAGTATAATTTCGGCCAAAAGGGAGCTTTGGTAACGACGACGGCGAAAGCAACGGCATCGATAACCAAAACAACTTTGCGAGTGCGTCACGCCTTTTTGTACATTTCCTTGCCGTTATTGTACGACTATGACGTAAAACTTCCTAAATTTCACCTTTTGTGCAGGACTTGAACACAAGACCACGACTTCCTAATTCTTTTCCTGAACTTCGATAGTCTTCAGAATTCAACTCCCGAAAAAATTGCCAACATTTGATGAATTGAACGAGGTGGAATAATCTCGATAAAGTTTGAAACAGCGCAAATTCACTTTTAAGCGACGTTTTGGTATCCGTGGCCGTCGTTGTTGCTTAAGCTGCCTACTGCATATATCTTATCCAAGTCGGGTGTAAGTTTTTAAGGGGGTTTCATTCGTGGCAAGTATGTGACTCAACTCGAAAATTCATCGTTTTACACGCGATACTTTTGTTATATCAATAGGGTACCGTGATAAAAAAGAAACGCGAACTACATAGGCGAGCAGAAGACAACAGAGCGTATGCACACTATCGATGGTGGTAGCACCTTTGAGATGGCCAAGGAACACCTTAATCTTAAAAAAGCTGTGGGATGCGATAAAATTTCACAAAGAGTTCTTCGCCTTTCCAGCCCAGTAATGCTGATCCACTAACCGAATGGATAAACCATTTTAAAAGACCAGCTCGTGGTTAACGGTGTGGATAAGCAGTGTATTTGTGCCGGTTTTCAAGAAAGACAATGACACATAAAATTTGCTATCGGCCAGTTTCTATACTGCTCTTTTTGAAGTTTATGAGAAAGTTTCATTCGATCAGACGTATGAGGAATTTGGTACAAAGTTATCTTCATGTCTCTGTGGTTATTTAAAAGGACATTCTTGCTGTACGGCTCTGCTGAAAATGACCGAAGACTGGCGAACATGCCTCGACATTAGGGAAGCCTTGTCAACTGTAGCACTAAATCAAAGCAAAGCATTTGATTCTGCTTCTCATGGTCTTTAAGTGCAAAATTCAAGGCCTGGGGCTTCCCTAGTGACGCACTGGTGACAATGTTGGCCTATCTACAAGGAAGGCTACAATGTGTAAAAATAGACAGTATCTGTTCAGGATGGGAAAGTGTGAAATCTGGCATCCCACAGGGATCTCTCTTGGGACCACTGCTATTCAATATTTACATGAATGACTTGACTTTTTGCATAGCTGACACATTCGTAAGACTCTAAGCCGATGACACAGCAGTTTACGGTTCTGACGTTTCTCTGTATTGATTTTTTTTTCCACGGGACTCTATTTAAATTAGGTTATTATATGCTAAACCACATGTGTCCGGACCTCTTCTCGGATGCCCCATATGTGGTTGGATTCTTGTAAGCGACCACCTCCCTTAAGCGACCACTAAGTCTTTGCATTTTGGGTGGTCGCTTATGGGGGGTTTGACTGTATATTATTTGATTTTACGATTGTAAGTAGCTTTGTAATTCAGTTTTCCATGCCCGTCACAATGTTAGGATCGTAGGAAAGACCAAAAATTTGGGAAGAGTTGTTTATTACGATTAACTTGATTGAGTTTTATTTGGCGATGCCTATATAGATAGTGATTGACTGGCCAAGGTGAATGAAACAGAGTGCTTCTTTAGCTCGAGTACCGTATTCACGTCATTTATCGGAATACGGCTTCTGTGTCGTTCAAATACCATATCTGAATCGTCTCGGTAAAAACTTTAAGCAATTGCTTTTATAACGCCCACATTAGCAGCCCTTGTGTATGCTGGCGTGTTCTTCAGAGAAGCAAAAATTGGAATGATAATTCATTTACAGCGAATGGTACATAACACACAGGGTTTTACAGTAAACGCTCTTACGAAGTATGACACTCATTTTAAGCGTTATGCTGCTAAAATTACCGATATTAACGCACATTTGATCACATTGTCTGACGAAAAGAGTGAAACAATGCTTATTAAACGGCCTTAAAAAATAAAGAACAACCAGGTCCGTTGTCAATAACCTGAGATCAGGCTCTATTTTCGTTTCGCTTTGTAAATAACATGCAGGCGGACAAGGCGAAGCGAAAATAGAGCCTGATACAAACCTTCTACGAAACGTCTGGCGCCCACTTTGTTATTGATTGACATTTGCCGAATCAGCCAACCAAAATTACTTCCGCTCCATAATTTTTTTTAGTATGCAATTTTTTCATACGTGGGAAAAATGCAGAAAATAGCTGCTATCTTTTTCTCAACTAAAAATAATTAGAGAGATTAACGGCGATCTTGAAAGTTATTTCTGTTGGCGTATAAGGTAAAAAGTTTTCGGAAAGACGGCGACACGATGTTCTAGTTTTAATGTTTTGGCTAATTGCGCTCGATTGTTAAAATTCTGAAATTTCTATTTTTCTGTTGCCTTAAGCCTCGTGTAAACGGACCGTCCGTTTTCATGAGGCTTAAGGCAACATAAAAAATAGAAATTTCAGTATTGTTGCGGCAACATTGTTGCATCCGTTCGCATGTAGCTTTAAGTTTTACCGCTTTCAAACTTTGCGCAACAACACCTAACAACACGCGACAACATGCAACAGGGTGTGCAAACGGACGCGACATGTAACATCCAACAATGTTGCGTCCGTTTGCACGTAGCATTATATTTTCCTTGGCAATTTCGTCCGATTTTCAGTACATGAATCTTTAAAAATCTTGGAGAAATATATCGCGAACTTTTTCAAAGGATGTATGAATTATCTCAGATCTCATTGGGCCTAGTCTCAGGCTAGTTGTCAGTAAAACCGGAGCTAAATGTCCGTTGTCAATTAAATTTTAGGCGATTTGTCAGTTGTCAGTTAACCCCATCCAGACCCTCATATATGAGCGAATTTTATTCAGAATAAATAGGGACGTAGCCCACATTGGTTCTGCCTCGGATAGTTATTTCACAGTTTGTGAACTTTCTCGCCCAAAGGATTCCCAGAGTAGGATGAGCGGTCTTGTTCCTGCTCTCATGGCTCTCGTATGAGGCACATGCATTCATAGCAAGTACTTGACTTCGTCCCCTCTCCGCCGTTCATCTCTTCGTTCCTCGTCAACGATTTTTTCAATATCTTTTTCTGTGTACTTATTTTTTACATCTTTCGAGGTAAAGGAAAGCTTTTCTTTATCGCCTAATTGGTCGGCAGATTCGCGGCAGAACAGCTGTAAGTTAAAATCCTTTCATCAGGGAACCAAATGGCGACCTAGGCTCAGTCTCCAGTTGAGTGTCTCGATGCGCCAGGGGTACTCCCCACCCGATGTATTTCCAGCAGGGGAGGCTAACGTTGGGCAAGCTATGTATCGGTCCCTAGAAAGGTCACCCCAGGACACCCGGGATTGATTTGATTTGTATAGTGCCCAGGCCTCATTTGCGAGCCGCGCGTTGACTTCGTCGCATCGACTTTCGGCCTTTTTGGAATATATCGGCGGCTTCGAGTTTGCCAAAGCAGGATTCGTTTCTCTAGCTGGGAAAGCTTCGTTAATAGTTATATCTGATGCTATCCTACTTCTACGATCCTAGCATGTTTATTTACCTTTGATATTCGAATTTCGTGTGTAAAGTAGTGTTGGAAAGGGAGCATGGCGGCCGAGATGTCATCTCGTGCCTCTTACCTTGTGTATTATATTGTTTGGAGGGTGAATTTGAGCAAATTATCACCAAACTTCATTTGAACATTAACGACAACAACAACTAACTGCAGAGTAAGTCTCATCGACCTATTTCCTACAAATTTTAGGATCGTATTTTTACCCCATACAACGCTGTAATTTTACTGGAACTGTACTGTGGTACTACAACAGAGCCTGGTTAACCTGTGATGAAAACGGTGATTTCTGCGCGGGTACAAAGCGAAGCTGCGCCACGCCGATCCGAAGTGGATCGTCGTCATCGGCTCCTGGTGCCACTCTTTGGCGCATGTGTAAGCCGATGGCAGAAAGAAAAAAAAGTTTCAAAAGCGAAGTGCTCGCTTTAGGGTCTCGCGGAAAAACTACCGAAACAGGCAGACCGCGAATTCGGAGATACGCGTGACAGTTGATTTTGTCGCCAAATGTTAACGACTCGGGTTACGTGGCAATGTTTGTCAAACCAAAAAGGTGAACTCATGTGGTCACATTCTTTCTCAGCAAACTAATCAGTAAAAACAAAAAGACTTAAAGAGAAGTAACCGGAAAAAGTTTGCAAGCGTTAACCAGCTTTATCGTAAAGAAATTCACCAAATCCAAGTTGCGACATATCATTAATGTTGTTATTTTGTTTGGCTGTGCTAGATATCCCTGTTATGTGTTATTTCATTTTTTTGTGACCTTGAATGATGTTTCTGGTAAAATGATTTCATCATAATTAACAGAGTTCTGACCAATCACAGGTCTAAAGAACCGCGTGATAATCACATGGGCAATTCATGGGCAAATATTTGTAAACTGAGTAATAAATTAAAATGTTTCTGGGAATTACACCGTCTAGTTCCGAGGGATAGTTTCCAAGAAAGCATCTCAGAAACTCGCATTTTAAAATGCAGTTACGGTTTTATCGTATTTTGTTGATAAACATTTGATGACGGATGGTTTCTATACGGTTGGAAACGTAGTGGATGTCTGGCGTACACGGCGCTGGCACCTTGAACGTTCGTAACTCAGTCATGTAATACGAAACAAGCTCCCTTTAGTTTACGTTCGATCTTCCACCAAATCATGTGTGTTGTTTTCTCGTGTTAATATGACGTCTATCCATGTACTGTAGTGAAACCTGTTAAAAGCGGGCCCATATTAGCTCATATTAAACGGGCACTCTGCCTTTCATTAAGCCTACACGAGCCTCAGAAAGTCGCAAACGTTTCACTCATCATTTTCAACCTTGTCTCGGGTGCAGTGCCGTTGCATTTATCCAGGGCATGTAGAGCTTGTAGGGTTTAGAAATCCGCAGATGAGTATAGTATCTCATACTTAAACGAGTTTCAAATAAGTATCGATCAACAAAGAAACATTTCTCATCCTTAAACTGTTTACCGGTTTTGAAACCTAAAATACCATGCGCTCTGGTATAGGATTTTAAGACTAAGAATACTGAAAAAATAATTCGGCGGGACATGAAGCGCATAAAATGGCCGTTATGGGTTTATAGTTTTTCAATCGTATGTAGGAGTTACGCTGCTTTTTGGCAAGTGTTCCTAGTCAAATCCGACTGCAAAGAAAGCATGCCCGACCTTACACTGAAAGCCTGTGAGAGTTACAGGAAGATCGAGAGGCCTCTGCTCGCAGGGTAAACTGCCTCATGAAAGGTATAGTAGATACCGATAGGAACCCTGCAATAGAAAAGATAGTAAATTTTCCTGGAGCCGTGATTCATAATTCACATTAGTTTACACTGTCTACCTTCCCTTGCCATTATCGTGCTGTATGCGGATGATGCCCGAAACTAACGAAACTGTCCTGATCACTCGGCAGTCGTTTTGATAACTCACTAAAATCTAATCATCACAGTTGGGCTGAAATAAATTTCCAACAAGATTATTTGATAAGGGGACGATTTTCTTCCCCTTCTAACCTTAGTTAAAAGTATACTGCAATCACTGGTGTATTTCGAAAGGGATCTGAAGATATTGGACCGGCCAATCATACATTGCGAACACATACGCGACAAGCAATTTACTTCAGTTAAAACTGTAAGAAGGTCTAGTAAAGGCCAAATCTTGAATGAGTGTCTCACACACTTTCCATACAATAACAAGGGACTTAAAAATAAAGGAAACAAGACAATACTAACCTTAGAACTGTTCACTGCTGTTGCTTCATGATCACCGATGATACAAGCAGGATGTCCTCCGTTTCTTCAAACTGTTAATATGTTCTACTCAATGATCCACTGAGCCTCATTGCTTACGAGTGCAGACAACCTAAAATGACTTTACTCAGTTAGAACTGAATTCAGTAAGCTGACAGAATACAAAGCACATCCTGCATTTTGGAGTCGCTTCGTGTGTAGAAGACCCAATCATCATGTATTTTATTTTGAGGGATTTGATGATGACCTTTGTCGCATGTGTTTTCTCGGAAACTGAACGTGATGTGACATTAATTTCCTAGAAACGGCTCGAGACTTTCATACACCCTCAGGTATCCTGTCGTTTTAAAAATAGTTTTAGAAATTGATTATAATGGATGTAAAAGTGGATCTAGTTAAAGGAACCTTTTTTTACCAAAACTGAAAGAGGTCTTCTCAGTTTGGAACGGCATCATGACTACTGTATATAACAAGAGCCATAACAAAAGCCGGTCCGACAATGACCACTTGTCCATCGGCTATGAATGACGTTCTTGTTCAAAGGGAAAATGCATTGGTATAACTAGGATATTCATTTGAGCTATATAAATCAACTTCCGCGGCAACGTTCAAGCATTTGTTGAACTCTTTTGGACAGTTTTTGAGTGATTCCTGATTCCGGCAGTCTAAGTCAGCAGCTCCCTCGACCGTTACAAAATGTCGGAGGGCCGTTGATTTTCCGCAGCGAAAAAAAAAAGGGTTTGCCTCTTGGATGGTCTCCGGCCAAATTCCAAGCAGATTGATACATATAGTACAGTTCAAGTTCAGAGGTATAGGTATAGTGCCTGTGCTTCTTTACATTTTAAAATGTTAGCCTGTGAAACTGGTAATGTCTTTGCAAATAAACAAAAATATCTCTACAAACAGCCCTTAAAAGTTATATTTCCCTCGTATATAATGTTTTGCCTAAGATTTTTTTCACTGCCGATTTTGTAACACTATATGCTTTCTTATAACTGAATTTAGGTAGTCCTTTGCATGGACTGCTATTCTGCTGACTGTAGTTGCTTCCACATAACAATCAAAACATCGATACATTCTCTAGAGATCCATCCTTTGAGGTTACCTTTGGCCTCCATTGTGTCTGCCGCTTCTTGAAGTGATTTGGCTGATATTTTTGGGTGTGCGTCGACATTTCTGTGATCCTGGAGTAATTTCAGTGCTTCCTCGTACATGTCATTCCAGTTAAGCTTTTTCTGTAGTTCAGCCCATTTCTGCCTTGCTGTTTCCTTTTCTTCCTCCGTCTTCGGCAGTCTTTCCAAGTCGCGACGAATGGTCTTTACTTTGTAATTAGCAATTGGTGTGTACAACTGTGGAAGGACATACGCGTACATCTTAGCTTGAAGTTGCCGACTCAACTCGCCCAGGCGAAGAGAAGCTTGTAGATCTGGTTGCGGAGGAGCCAACATTGGCCTGCCTTCTCTGACACCAAACGAAAATAGCTTTTGATGCGTATCTTGAAGGTCTTTTACCTCTTTCTTCAAATTGTGATTTTCACGCCTGCTATTCTCTAGATCTTGCTTTACGCTTTCCACTTCACCAGATATTATTTCCAAATGCTCCTTTAAACTGGCGTTTTCTTCTTCGTGGGCCACGTTGGCTTTTTCAAGCTCTTCTACTTCCTTCTCGACGCGGTCAAGCTTTCCCTCGACATTTCTAAGCTTGTCTTCTAACCCTTTCTTCTCAGTTTCCAGTTTGTGGATTCGAGACTTCAGCTTTGTAATCTCTTCGATTCTGGTTTTCAAGGCAATATCCAACTTTTTGTTTTTGTCCTCCAGTTCTTTCATGGCTTTCTCTAAACGCGATATCTCCTCATTCTTCTCTTCGATTTTCTCCTTCAAAGATTTTATCTGCTCGCCATGTTGACTAATCATTAGCTCATTTATGTTATCCTGTTCGAAGGTGGCAGTCGTTCGTACAACACTAAAAATAGCGGTCTCTGGACGCGACAGATTGTCTATTTGCCTGAAATGGTCTTCTCCCATTTTTTCGCAGTTTGGGTAGGCTGATGGTGTCAATTTGATGCTGAGAAAGCAAGGCTGTGACAACAATATATTACCCATGAAACGTTTCGTTGTTTTATACCATAGGTTTGTGCATGCGCAGAAAGCTAAGGCATTTCTTAGAAATCGCAAGATGAGTTGGGAACGAGGTTATATTTGTGATTCATCTACAGTTTTGTATTGTTTTAGTACTGAGGAAATTGCCAGAACTAAGTAGGAGATCATACAAGGCATTTCTCGATTGGTTGCATCGGGATTGGGTAAACGAGTTGACTCGGCTGTTGATAATGTTACCGATATTTTACTTATAGATGGCGTCTATTAGTCTTCTACTGAATTAGACGTGTATCCAATATTGGAGTTTTGACACAGGTTCTTGCTGTCATCTGAAACGACGGGTGACTTATTTCTTTGCGCAGACTAAGTTTTCCCCTTTGTGAGATGGTTTCCTGTTAAATATTGACAAGATAGTGACCAATAACAACCCGTGTGCTTGATGAATCCTAATCTATTATTAAAATCGTTCAAATATATCTGATAATTCTTCTCTATCGAAAGTGGTTAGCTGTTTTAAATTCAACGAGATGTTATCACCTAGAAAGGAGAAATTCGGAAGGACATGTACAAAGTTTTCCCGGTCACTTGACACTGCTTACAGCTACGAGTGGGAAGTTTTAAATAATGTGATCTAANCTATTTGCCTGAAATGGTCTTCTCCCATTTTTTCGCAGTTTGGGTAGGCTGATGGTGTCAATTTGATGCTGAGAAAGCAAGGCTGTGACAACAAGATATTACCCACGAAACGTTTCGTTGTTTTATACCATAGGTTTGCGCATGCGCAGAAAGCTAAGGCATTTCTTAGAAATCGCAAGATGAGTTGGGAACGAGGTTATATTTGTGATTCATCTACAGTTTTGTATTGTTTTAGTACTGAGGAAATTGCCAGAACTAAGTAGGAGATCATACAAGGCATTTCTCGATTGGTTGCATCGGGATTGGGTAAACGAGTTGACTCGGCTGTTGATAATGTTACCGATATTTTACTTATAGATGGCGTCTATTAGTCTTCTACTGAATTAGACGTGTATCCAATATTGGAGTTTTGACACAGGTTCTTGCTGTCATCTGAAACGACGGGTGACTTATTTCTTTGCGCAGACTAAGTTTTCCCCTTTGTGAGATGGTTTGCTGTTAAATATTGACAAGATAGTGACCAATAACAACCCGTGTGCTTGATGAATCCTAATCTATTATTAAAATCGTTCAAATATATCTGATAATTCTTCTCTATCGAAAGTGGTTAGCTGTTTTAAATTCAACGAGATGTTATCACCTAGAAAGGAGAAATTCGGAAGGACATGTACAAAGTTTTCCCGGTCACTTGACACTGCTTACAGCTACGAGTGGGAAGTTTTAAATAATGTGATCTAAAATAACTTGCTAGTCAATGGTTGATTTATTTCCTCAAAGGGCAGTCATATTCATTTGCAGTAATTCTGACAATCTGTATGGGTGTTTTCTTGTCTGTGCAAGATAAGTCAGTCTCTAGTTTTCAAGATACAAGGACTTGTTAATAGAGACACGCATTTACTCTGCTGTTAGATTGTCTTAGAATTAGAACAATTTTCTACCAGCTCTGACTTGTTCTTTATTCATATCATCAAATGGATTGATGCTTTAGCGTTTATTTCTAGGAATCAGAACAAATTTGTAGAAAAGAAGTTCCAATTAAACCGCTTTTACATTAGGCTTGGGACTTTATATAATACATTTACATCCTATGCAGAGTTGCGTGAATAACATTATATTTTATTTCAAACGAGAAAGCTTGTAAACAAAAAGTGACTTCTTCGTCCCTATAGTAGCCACAATCGTAGGCGTATGGATTTGTGAGATTTGTTAGGACATCATTAAAGGGACTTTTTTCGGGGGTTTGAGGCATAGGACAGAGTAATATCACACGGGAAAAAGGCCAATATTATCACGAACGTTTCGGAGTTCAATATATTTCCCGCATTTACAAACTACACAGTGTGTGACTGTTCAAAAACAAGCAAGAAATGCAAATTCTTCTAGAATGACTTGTGTTTAATAATAATCTGGCTTTTCAATCGCCCCCCAAAAACCACCCTCTGTGACTGCAGCTGCAAAGTCACATGCATCATTGCAAATCCACAAATATGAGATCTTCTCACAATTTTGGAACTATTAACATCTGTTTGTTCAAAACCGGATGCATCAACACTGTAAATTAACGCACTGTATGTCGGTCCTCTTTTACCCAACATTTATTTCATTTTCATTTATTTAAAGTTGTTGTTTATTATAGGCAAAGCGTAATAAGTGATATAATTAAAGTGATCCGTGAACCATGCTGTTATAGCTCAGTTTCTCAGAAATTCCTTGCTTAGTTGCAGTCATAAAGGAGCGTTAAGCTGCCTGACAAGGAATCAGTGCTTACTCTGAGGGTAGTTTTAAGATGTAGTTTTATCGGTTTTTGAAAATTGAAAACGTTTCATTATAAACAAGACACCCTTTGTAAACAAGAAGTCTGGAACTGAAGCATATAATGTTTGGTCCAAATAATGATTCCGTTACAACCATCGATTGAACTAAACGCAAGCAGCTTAATTTTCATTTTATGGTTTAAAATCAACACAATTTGCTGCTTTTAAGCTCCGTTGTTACGAATTCTGAGGAAACTAAAACCGTGGCTGCAATTAGGCAATGATGTGTTTAGTTTTATCCACATCCGCTGGATTAAAGTGCTTCGATCTCCATTTAAAAATGAATTTTTTATCAATAAAGTGCCTGTCTTTAAACCTGTGACCGACGCGTTCATGAGTACGTTGTGCAAGATCCCATTTCCGCCTTTTGATTTGAAAATGATTTTTAAAAAAATCCTCAGTTTTAGTTTTAGAATTTTTGCCGTAAGAGCTTTTTTTAACCGTGTATCTTAACTTATGCACTCTTAAATTTGTTTTCATACTCATGAACTGTACACGAAACTATTATTTTCGTTACTCCCAAAATTCCGACAACTAAAGTGACGAACTATGATTTCATTGCACGGGGCTTCTGCGGGGAAATAAATAAAGACTCTAACTCTGACATGATTTGGGTAGCTTATTTTCTGTGAGTATCTGTTACCCCAGCGACTTTGAAGAAAATAAGAGACTGCTCGCAGTCTAGATAACCACATGGGCAAGTATTTGTTGATAAATAATAAAAGTTTCTAGGAATTACGCTCGTCCTTTTCCGTGGGATAGTTTCCTAGAAAGCGTCTCAGAAACTTTGGCGAGTTGAAAATACAATTACAGGTTTGTCCGTATTTAGATGATAAACTGTTGATGAAGGTTTCTATACTGTAAGAAACGTAGTGGATTTCAGGCGCACACAGCAGGGACCTTGAACGTTCGTAACTAATCTGAATAAGAATCAAGACTCGTGTGGTTTACGCTCGAACTTCGGCAAAATCTTTATAATAAATAGGCTGTTGTTTTGTCATGTTATAAAGTCCATCTAGAGCCGGAAACCTGTCCTAAGAGGACTCATGAAACATGCGCTGTGTATTAAGATAAAGTCTACACAAGCCTGTGAAAGTCGCAAGTGTTCTTTTCATATCATTTTAATCTGGTTATAGGAGGGACCTGTATTAAGGGAACATGGTGTGATGTAAATTTAGCTCAAATAATAAATTAAATTAAATTAAATTAAAAAAACATGGTCGAAGCTTCACCGTAATCATCAAGGCGTGACCTAGAGCCTTTAAAGTTAAGAAATACGCAATTAAGTATCCCAAATTAAAACAAGTTTCAATCAATCCTTCCCGTCTTTAAAACCTATGTAGCACGCTCTGTGGTTAAGCGTACAGGACACTAAGAGCTACTAAGCAACTTTAGATATACGAATAAGGCGGGCCAAGACAACATGGTCGTTATAAAGGCGTTAATGAGCTTATAGATGTTAATTTTGGGTCTAGAAGATATGCCTATTTTTATAAGAACCCTGAAATAGAAAAAAGCGTAATTTTTTCCTGTACGCATGACTCACATGAGCTTACACTAAACTCACTGCATGACTTAACTACAACTGCACTATCGTGCTGTAACGAAAAGGGGGGTTGTAGTTTTGTCCCCTGGCACTCAAGAATCGAAAGGACTTTAATTTACTCAATCGTTTGTAGTTGTCTCTAACTTTGTTCTCTGTTAACTCGTGCCCACGTTTCAAAGAAAGTCAACCTTTCAGAATACCTTTCGCATCCATCATTTTTGCTTGAGTGGTGGAAGCATCATAGAGAACGTGGCAAAGGGATACTTCAAAACGCGAGAAACAAATTAAAAACCTTTCGCAAAGGCTAGAGGTAACCGAAATGTTACCTTCTGTATATACTCCCAGCACAAAATGTTCTAGATAAGACTCGCCGATTATGTTAATCAATGTTTGTGTCTATGCGCACCAAGCGATCTGCTGATTAGTTCTATGAAAAAAAGCTTATAAATTCCGCTTTCCCCGAATTGAAAGTTTAATAAGTTTTTTTAGTAGTCATCAATTTCATCGACACTAACTGAGAAACTTTAATAAATAGTACTAATGCCACGAGCAATAGCATTATTTTCAGTACTTCTTTCACCTTTGGCAATCGGCATAAATGCGTTTCTGCGCTTAAAATGTACTTTCTTTAAATCAAAGAACCTAGCACAGTTGCGTCTTTGTAAAATGTGAGCAAAACGCTTGCTTAAAAACACCTCTTTCAGTCTTATTCCTACTAAGATTAACGAGAGTGATGTGGCAACATATGGCATTATTATACTTTGCTTACGAGTGGGTTCGTTTAAGGATGAACACAAGTGGACGCATTCTGTATGTATTATCTACTGAATAATCACAAAATATAAACGGTATAGCCGTCGGTCTGAAACATTACCATAGCCTGGTACATTGCTACTTTCTCAGGATTTTCCACATTTCAAATAAATCTTCGACGATTTGCTCTTCTGTCCAGCCATTCAGTTCGCCATGCTTCTTCATCACAGCCAGTGACTCCAATAGCA